GCTTCCTTTAGCTCTTAGCTCGTGTCTGCTTCCTTTAGCTCTTAGCTTGTGTCTGCTTCCTTTAGCAATAAGCTAGTGTTCTGATTATTCTAGCTTTTAGCTAGTGTTCTGCTACTTTCATAAAAGCTCAGTTTTAGCTCCTTTAGCAGATTTCAGCTGTCATTTAGCTCATAGCGCTCACACTGGATTTTGGCAGAAACTGTAATTCATTGACTTTTTATAGTTTTTTGTGTTTAATAAAAGAATCAGTTCTGAGTTTCACGGTTTCTGACACAGAACCATGAAGTGGACCAGCAGAACCCGTGAAGACTCAGAATGAAGCCAGATCAAAGCGACTGACTGGGGTTTGACCCTCACGGGCCACCGTCTGGCTGCAGGTACAGGCAGACAGATGGTCCCCGGCTGTAATCTGAGCGCTTGCTGTAATCCTGCTAATGAGGACGACCGTCAAGAAGACAGAGTCCACAAGAACGTCTCTGTGGTTCTGATCCGGAGAACAAAACTGCGTCCAGGTCCTCAGATGAGACGGTTGTACAGAGGACAAAATGTTTGTTTCATTGAACAAACATCTTTAGTGGGACCAAAGGAAACTGAAATAAGACATTTAAATATTATGGTTTGTCTCTCATCTGCGTCAGCTGCAGCCCAGAGGACACATCGGACCTTTGTCCATTTCAGACCTGTGGCCTCAGGACGTGGACTTCCTTTGAACTGACCCGTGCATGTAAAGGTCGTGGTCCAAGGACGCCAACAGAACCACATCATCTGCAAAAACCAGAGACAAGACCAGAAAGCACCCAAACCAGACCCCCCTCTCCAGGACCGAGACATTGTCCATGAAGACAAAATATCGGGTCAGAGACCAGGGACAGCACTGAGGGAGTCCGACCCGCTCAGGAAATGTGCTTCACTTTGTGCCAAGAACAACAGACGAGCTGAAGCTGATGATCGAAACTTTGAATCATTAAAAAAAAAGACGAGACCGTCGGCAGAGACATTTTCTGTCTGAACAAATCAGTCCAGTTTCGGCTGATCGGCCCATCCAACATGAGCCGAACACACGTCCAACATGAGTCAAACACACGTCTAACATCAGCCAAACACTCGTCCAACATCAGCCAAACACACGTCCAACATGAGCCGAACACACGTCCAACATGAGCCGAACACACGTCCAACATGAGCCGAACACTCGTCCAACATCAGCCGAACACTCGTCAAACATCAGCCGAACACTCGTCCAACATCAGCCGAACACTCGTCCAAC